CCCCAAAACCCCAAAACCCCATCAGAGTAAATCATCAAAAATATAGAGTGAATAATTTATTATTAAAAGAAAAAATTAATCATTTAAAATATTAAGAGGAAATAATGAATTAAGCATTAAATAATTCTCCATCTTTCCTGATAAACTTGAAATAGTAACAGCTCATGAATCCTTACAATTTAAAACCTGCTAGCTTTGGACATAATTCCTTAATCCCTCCTAAATAATCCTATTCTTTAGTCAATATTTTACCTAGTCCTCAAATATCTTCCAATTCTTAGTAAGTTTGATATTCTCATAGTCTTATCAATTCTTCCATTTATAATAAAAATTTTATGATAATAATAGCAAAAAAAATATTGCCAATGGCTAAAAGCAGGACTTAAGAAATCAGCCATCATTTCTTATTAATCACAATGAATATTAAAACTTAAATGCTATTGAGAAATTACATAATAAAAGCGTATCAGGCATATCCAGGAATATGACAAGTGACTTGCTAGATAAAAGTTTAGAGTACTTATAAAGTAAAAGTTTCATCATTAACTCAGAAAAGTAAATACCTACTCTTGCAAAATATAGATCTAATAATTAAGATACGATAACTGTAATTTGAATTAATATTTAATAGTTTTTTAGAGATCAATCAGCAGGCCTCGAATTAGCTAGCCTTTGCCAGTTCAAAATCTAGGCAATATTGCACCATTTTTACCGATGATTAACAATGCTAAAAATAGCTAACAACCTTAATAATTGATATAATAATTTCCACAGCTGTAATCCCCATAAATATTTCAGACTAATAAAAGTGCATTGGATTAAATAAGAATTGATAACAAATCAATCAGTACTATCGACCAATCTAGAGTTAATACAGAATAATCTCATATGTCATTGTAAAATAGGTTTAGCAATCTAATTAGCACCAAAGATAACGTATACTCAAATCTTTAGAGGGATGATTTTCAGGAGCGTTACAAAGAAAACCTAGAACTACGTAAAAAATTAAACAAAATAAAGCTTGAAAAACGGAAACTTAATGATTCACTCAGCTAAATAGTCCAATCTAAGTTAGCGTTTCAAGCAGGGATATAAAAAAACACAGAGAAGAGCAGCTTGAAGACAGAGGATTAGAAGAGAATTGATGAGTTAAATGAACAGCTGAATTAGATGCAGCAATAGATGAACTATCAAAATCAAATGAGTGCAATGATGGCAATGTGAAGGTAAAATAATCCAGCAAGTACTCCTTCTTTGATAGGGTCGGAGCAACAGCCTGTCAGAAAGTAACCAGATTTAAAAGATTATCTTCGTTAAAATGATGAAGAGAGAATATAGAAAGACTAATAATATATAAAAGATCAAGTTGAAGAATTACTAAGACAGGTGAAAGATCAAAATCAAGATAAGCCTGATCAAAATGTAGCTAAATAAATTTCAAAAAATCCACCAGATAATCATCATCTACCTTAAATTGAAGAGCAGGCAAAATAATAAGCTTAGAAAAGATAATCAATTTTGTAGCCAGAAATGCAAAAATCATCTCTTCAGGCTAATATCAGCATTAAGAGTAGAAAGGTTAGAAAGGGTACTATGAAGTATTTAAGGACAGTTACTATAGCAATAATGGCATGGCTAGGGGTAAAAAGATTGGTTAAATAGCGACGAGCTGATATTCTATATCATAGACAACCATAAATTTAGAATCAGTAGTTTTAACCAAACAACGATAACTAAACTGTAAAGATGTATGCAGATATAGCCTAAGCTTGGCTAATAAAAGCTGTTAAAGAGCCTTTGCTTTCTATTATTACTGACCAACCATTGAATTTGAACATTGTAGATTATAGAGTTGATGCTTTTGAACTTTAGAATAGATTGCTCAAGTCTAAGATCAGAATTAGAGCTATATTTTAGGGTATCCTAGATAGCACAACTATGAGTCATATATCGACATCTCTACTTATATATCTAGGTTCAGTATTCAAGATCGGATCTACTTTGCCTAAGGATTTTCTAACTCAATTTGAATCTTAAAGATTATTGATTACTGATATTCAAGGTCAAATTAGAAGTGCCCCTGAAATTCAGGTGAAAGCTCTGATTGGTGTATTCATATTAGCTAAGATTCTTGTAGCTAAAGTACTATCTTCACCTTCAGCCTCGGGATTATAATCACAGATTTAAATAAGTCTATAAAACTATGCTTTTAATTAAAGGTCAAGTGAATTTATGGAGCAAAGGGAATAGTTAATGGCTGTTAATTTCAAGATAATCTCAAGTTTGATTTATTTCACTGTTATGGAGTATATAGAATAGCTGCATCCCTCAGCTAAAGGATACAGTCTGGAATTAGTTCATAGCTGTGGGTTTAAGTAGATTATATACAAGTAAAGTGATCTAAAGGAGTATTATCGAGACAGTAATTATGATTTTAGAGTTGAGATGTTTCAGTTAATAGACTAAATTATCTAGAGATTAATTGACCTTGTCAAGATCAACACTCCTATAAATAGATGATAGAAGTAAGCTCATATTCTAAATAGTCAAGTAATGAATAGATTTTATGATTTAATTTGGAGAATTTTATTGGATTAAACTCTGCCAATAAAAGCATTCAGGGGTTTTGGGGTTTTGGGGTTTTGGGGTTTTGGGGG